TATTAAATTGAATTACCTGCTAGAGTCTTAAAATCAAGCAGATCAAACAGAACGATGGCTACAGCCGACCACGTGATGATCAGAGCCACGACCAGCAGCCAAGCCATTGGAGAGCTAAAGGTTAAGATGACATCATCCAAAAATGTCCTCTGATTGGTCCGAGCTGAAGGGACCACCGCCCCCCCGTTGGACTGACTGCTCATTGGTGCAGAGCTGGGAGAAGGAAGGCGGGAGAGAGGGAGTAAAACAAGGTTCAGTGGAAATCTTTCCCAATGTTTAACTTTTTCACAAATATCCAAACACTGATTTCTGCAGGTTTGGGTCATTTGAATCATATTGTGTTTTTTTTCAAAGCATGTTCCACATTTACAACGTATAGACTCTCTGCTCCCAAACATCTTCAAGCCTGAGCCGAGACTAGTCTGATGTCATCATCAAAAGCTCCTCCAGCAACCATCTCCTAGAAATGATGTTTGTACAGCACTAATCTGCAGAGGCAAACGTGTTTTGAAGGAAATATAATGCTGCAAAATAATGGCAAATAACATTTTTCACAGTGAAACAGGTCTGTAGAATTTCTCACAATTTATAGTTGAAACTTATAAACATCTTGCATTGAATGAATTAAAGGGCCTTGCACTTACTTTCCTGTTTGGAAAATTGTGAGGACAAATGAATAGTCTTGGGTGCGGTTTGTTCTGAGTTGTAAAACGATACCTGACAGCAACAGGCACTTCACACTGTACACAGGTGGGTTGCATGACTGCTCCCCAAAAGTGAAGCCAGAGTGTCTTGATCGCCAACTAGTGGCTGACTGTAGTGTAGATGATAAACCCCACCTCTTCCATGTTTGGCGATGGAATATTAGCAAAATTGAAAAGTCAAATACATTTTTCTAAAACATGGCTTCTGTCATTTTAGGTAGTTCTTATCACAGTGGGATATTTCAGCTTCATCTCCTGATTGTAGGAGGAAGTGGAGCAGTGTCGTCCATCTTTATATACATTCTGTGTCAGAGGTTGTAGGTTATGGTGCTGTTGGTATTTTGAGTAATAGATACATTATGACCAACAGGTACGTCTTTGCGCTCACGTTGCCAGTTATTTTGATGAATGCACAGAGCAGCTGTTTATTTACGAGGAAGTCTGTGAATCAGTCAGGTATTTTTTTGTTACAGGAGGAGAATGAGGGATGAGGAAGAGGGATGAGCAGGAGGAGAAGGAGTGGGAGAGAACGAGGATTACCCGAGGTGATGGCGAGATTAAATTCCACCTCACTTTGAACAATCTGCTCCATAAGACAAACGACTTCTCCAAGGAAAGTTTTCATCATCGCGTGGCGGTGGGGCCCTGCGACGTAATACGATTACGTGCAGGCGGTCGCTTGTTCGTGTTCATTACGCGGCGTGCTGCGCTGAACGCCTCAGATGATTTATTTTTTCCTTCTTAGTTTCGCTGCATGCCTCGCACAAAGCTTTTCTGCAAACGTAAAGTAATAGTGACTGTGGCGTTTTGAATTAAAACAGGAATGACTCATTTGGAAGAAATATGTCCTTCTTCAGATTATTAATGAGGCCCTGAGGGATGCAGGTTCACGAGAGGTGTGGTGGTCCAGTTGCTATTAAACATCATTCATTATCACAGACTGGTGGAGAGAATAAGGTTGTGGTTTTGACAATGATCCTCATTATACCTCAAGGTATGATGCAGGGCACAGACTTGACCACACCATATGCTACCGCATTTGCAAATTGGTCGTATTATACTCTAATATGTAGCCTGTGCACTCAAGAAGATGCACTCAACTATACAGACTAATAATCTGTGAATTTAGCAGCAAGTAATTTAATTAAATTTCTGCAGCAAGACCACTGTGGCACAGAAGCATGTTGTTGCCGCAGCAGAAAAATACAAGTCAGAACAGAATCACGTCATATGTGAAAAGCTTGTTTGTTTTACATGTGATAATAAGACAATTTATATATTTATATATATTATAAAAGGAATATGACTCATTAATACAATTTAATTAATGTTTACGTCATGATTGAGTTGAGATGGATTCACCTGTTATGTCACCCTTCACATGGCAGCATCACATCCCACAATAAACCGGTAATCCCTGTCTAAAAACTACCTGGCCACAGATCAATGTGATTTACATTTTTTGACCAACACAACTTTATTTAGAAAAATGATTCACGTAAACACAAGTAATTAAGGTTGTAAGTGTAGGACACAGGGGCCTTTTTAAGACTGAGTCATATGAATGCAGGTGAAGAGGATCAGTGATATGAACAAATGGAACTATTAAAACCCATTGAAGTGAATCAGAACGCACTGGGGAGTCTGATATTCAGGAATGAATGCCTCCAAACTTCCTTCTGTTCATTAGTCATGGCTTCATATCACAGCACAAGCCGTTATCATTCAACATTAATTAAATCAATACTCGTTCAGGATTATTCAGTATTGTACTTTAATACATTTCTCGACTTTCTTCTCATTCCCCGTAAATTCTTAGATTTCAGAACTTGTGCCTGTGTGATTAT